GGATTTGGCCCTTAATTCAAGCATACCACGCTGTTAAGAGGGACCCGGCTCCGGAACATGGCATAGTCCCGGGTGACATGGTATGGGTTAAAAGGCATCAGTCCAAAACCCTAGAGCCTAGATGGAAAGGACCTTATGTTGTACTGTTTACTACCCCTACCGCCCTCAAGGTTGATGGCATCGGACCTTGGATCCACCACTCCCACGTGCGTCGAGCCAATCATCAAAAACAAGAAGGGGTCAAGGAGTGGACTGTACGGCGGCACCCAGACAACCCATTAAAGCTAAAGCTTTTGTGGCCCCGGGAACATGCAGAGCCTTCAGGAGCAGCCACGGATGGGGTGGCTGATCGCTCTGATCTTGCTCAATGCCCAGAGCGGGAGCCTCGCAGAAACCAACCCTCACCAGCCCTATAAGCAAACCTGGATACTCACCGATGGGGAGACTCATACCACCCTCAACGAGACTACTCGCACTGCCCCCATAGGAACTTGGTGGCCGGAGCTTCAGTTCTGCTTCAGAGACATCAATCCTGCCTACAAGTCTACTGCCCCGGAGTCAGCCCGACGTTATGGGTTTTATGCCTGCCCCGGCCACAAAAAGAACCAGGAATGTGGGGGATACAATACTCCTTCTGTAGGTCATGGGCATGTGTCACATCCAATGATAGTGAATGGAAATGGGGATATCAAAATCAGACCTAGTCAAATTTGCCTTTGTAAATGGGATATTAAGGGGGCACAGAATTCCAATACCCACCCATAAATGCCAGCCCACGGATCTAGATAGAATCAAGGTCACTTTCACTGAAACTGGCAAGAAGGACACCCCTGGGTGGATACAAGGTAAGGTATGGGGACTTGTATTTTATAAATATGGTGGACATGCTGGCTCGACCATAGTGGTCAGATTAAAAATTGAGCCCATAGGGCCACCGTCCACAGCAGTAGGCCCCAATAAGGTACTTAGGCCGCCCAATGTAAAGCCATCTCCCCAACCTTCCACAACTCACCACCTTCCCTCAACCATAGCTCGGGCTAATGTTACAACTCCAAGACCATCAGAAACCAGCCCTCCCCTGGTGAGGCCCAGTCTCATGACCGCATCTAAAGACCCCCTCTGGGAGCTAGTGGGTGCTGCCTTCCTGACGTTAAACCACACCAACCCTAACATGACTAACTCCTGTTGGTTATGTTATGATGTGAGGCCCCCATTCTATGAGGCAATAGGGCTAAACACCACTCACGATACCTCATCTGAGGAAAACCCTAGTCAATGTTCCTGGGGAGACCGTAAGAGAGGTCTGACCATACAGCAGGTAAACGGCCAAGGAACCTGCTTAGGAAAAGTGCCAAAGAACAGACGGGACTTATGTACTGTTATTAACGCCAGTTCTACCTGGGGAAATGCTATTAAATGGGTAATTCCAAAGGACAATGGGTGGTGGCTATGCTCGCGGTCCGGACTCACCCCATGCCTATCAACTAAGGTGTTTAACAGCTCTAAAGAATTCTGTGTTATAGTGGTTGTGCTGCCCCGCATCCTCTATCATTCGGAGGAAAGTCTATATTCATACTGGAATATAGGAACAGGTGAGAGAAAGAAGAGAGAGCCTATTTCTACACTAACCATTGCTACCCTACTTAGCCTAGGGGTGGCTGGGGCAGGGACCGGCATAGCCTCCCTGGCTACTCAACATAAAGGGATGTCTTCGCTGCGCGCAGCCATAGACGAAGATATAGAGAGAATAGAAACCTCCATTAGCCACCTAGAAAAATCCCTCACTTCCCTGTCTGAGGTAGTACTTCAAAACCGACGAGGTCTGGACTTGTTGTTCCTCCAAAAAGGGGGACTATGCGTTGCTCTAGGGGAAGAATGTTGTTTTTACGCTGACCATACCGGAGTTGTTCGTGACTCCATGTCTAAACTCCGAAAGAGCCTGGAACAAAGAAAACGAGAAAAAGAGGCAGGGGAAAGCTGGTTCGAGTCTTGGTTTAACCAGTCCCCATGGTTGGCTACCCTTTTATCTGCACTGGCAGGGCCAATAATAATCATCCTACTGCTTGTTACCATAGGACCCTGGATTCTAAACCGACTTATGACTTTTGTCAAAAGTCGAATTAATACTATCCAACTTCTGGTCCTCCGCCAACAATATCAGGCTCTTCATCCTCTCGAGGATGATTCCTCAATTTAGGCCATAAGAAAGGGGGGAATGAAAGGAATATGAGGTCTCAGCGGGCCCCAACCCCCTTGTTGGAGAAACCAGTACCAAACATCCCATGTAGATAAGATAAGCAATGAGGCAGGGCTCAGTTAGGGCATATAGAATGTGAGGAATGCAAGATGTGAGATACGAGCAAGATGTGAGATACGAGCAAGATGTGAGGTACGAGCAAGATGTGAAGTACGTGCAGGATGTGCTCTGCCTGCTTGTCTAATGTTGATAACAAAAATATGCACGCCACTGCAGTCTATATAAGATTTCCCCCTAAGAGGCTCAGGGTCTTGCTTTCCTAACCGGTCCTGCGTGTCCGTGTGGGAGCTCGACCCTGGCTAGCCAGTCCAATAAACTCTGCTTTGTTGATTGCAATCACGCCTGGCTCTCTGTCTCTCGGGGGAATAGGATTCCGGGTCCTAACACTACCATATGATCAAACAATACCACTCTTGGGGATATACCCAAAAGACTGTGACACAGGTTACTCCAGAGGCATCTGCACATCCATGTTTATTGCGGCACTATTCACGATAGCCAAGTTATGGAAACAGCCAAGATGCCCCACCACTGACGAATGGATTAAGAAAATGTGGTATCTATACACAATGGAATTCTATGCAGCCATGAAGAAGAACAAAATGTTATCGTTTGCTGGTAAATGGATGGAATTGGAGAACATCATTCTGAGTGAGGTTAGCCTGGCCCAAAAGACCAAAAATCGCATGTTCTCCCTCATATGTGGACATTAGATCAAGGGCAAACACAACAAGGGGATTGGACTATGAGCACATGATAAAAGCGAGAGCATACAAGGAAGGGGTGAGGATAGGTAAGACACCTAAAAAACTAGCTAGCAGTTGTTGCCCTTAACTCAGAGAAACTAAAGCAGATACCTTAAAGCAACCAAGGCAATAGGAAAAGGGGAACAGGTACTAGAGAAAAGGTTAGATCAAAAAGAAATTAACCTAGAAGGTAACACCCACGCACAGGAAATCAATGTGAGTCAATGCCCTGTATAGCTTTCCTTATCTCAACCAGCAAAAACCCTTGTTCCTTCCTATTATTGCTTATACTCTCTCTACAACAAAATTAGAGATAAGGGCAAAATAGTTTCTGCTGGGTATTAACTCAGAGAAACTAAAGCAGATACCTTAAAGCAACCGAGGCCAATAGGAAAAGGGGAACAGGTATTAGAGAAAAGGTTAGATCAAAAAGAATTAACCTAGAAGGTAAACCCACGCACAGGAAATCAATGTGAGTCAATGCCTGTATAGCTATCCTTATCTCAACCAGCAAAAACACTTGTTCCTTCCTATTATTGCTTTATACTCTCTCTACAACAAAATTAGAAATAAGGGCAAAATAGTTCTGCTGGGTATTGAGGGCGGGGGAGAGGAGGGGGCGGAGTGGGTGGTAAGGGAGGGGTGGGGGCAGGGGGGAGAAATGAACCAAGCCTCGTATGCACATATGAATAATAAAAGAAAAAAAAAAGAAAATGTGGTATTTATACACAATGGAATTTTATGCAGCCATGAAGAACGAAATGTTGTCATTTGCAGGTAAATGGATGCAATTGGAGAACATCATTCTGAGTGAGGTTAGCCTGGCCCAAAAGACCAAAAATTGTATGTTCTCCCTCATATGCGGACATTAGAACAAGGGCAAACACAACAAGGGAATTGAACTTTGATCACATGATAAAGCGAGAACACACAAGGAAGGTATGAGGATAGCTAAGACACCTAAAAAACTAGATAGCATTTGTTGCCCTCAATGCAGAGAAACTAAAGCAGATACTTTAAAGCAACTGAGGCCAACAGGAGAAGGGGACCAGGAACTAGAGAAAAGGTTAGTTCGAGAAGAATTAACTTTGAAGGTAACACACATGTACAGGAGATCAATGCATGTCAACTCCCTGTATAGCTATCCTTATCTCAACTACCAAAAACCCTTGATCCTTCCTATTATTGCTTATACTCTCTCTACAACAAAATTAGAGATAAGGGCAGAATAGTTTCTGCCTCGTAGCGAGGTGTAAGGGGGGGTAAGTGGGGGGAAGGAGGGCGGGGGGGGGGAAGGAGGAGAAATGACCCAAACAATGTATGCACATATGAATAAAATAAAAATTAAAAAAAAAAAAGCAAGAAATAACACTAAGGAATCAGGTACATTTAAGGAAGCAATTCATTCCTATAATTTGGATGGCCGACAACAAACATCAATACTCTCAGGTGGATATTATTTCACTCTCAAAAGATTTTCAAATACAGTATAAAAGGCTGTCATAAGCTCTCTAAACATGCATCTCACAAGATAATACGTTCTACAAAAAAAGTCTTCAAATGAAACAGAACAATCGCAACAAACACCATATATGGTTTACAAGCTTACAACCTTGGGCATAATAGGAAACTATGGGCTATAAAAGGAGACAAGGTAGGAGTGAAGGAAGACAATCAGCAGACATTTTTCCTCTGAATTCATTCCCTTAGTCTCTTCCAAGCCACCAACATAGCCCCAATTCTGTACAAGGTGTGCACATCAGAGTTTTAACTCAATTAGAGCTGTCTAATGTCTCTGACTCTATTGTACCTTCTATCACACCATCCACTCAGTTGCTATGTGATCATGGATCAACCATCTTTAATATATAATCCTGCTAACTATTCATAAAGGGTAAGTGATTTGCTAATATGTTAATTTCCCAAAATGTCCAAAAGACACACAATACCAGCAACTGTTAAAGATCAAAACATTACAAAAGATATTTAGTTTTCACCTGCAGTATCAAAAAGTCCAAGAGTATATGGCTCTCCACCAATCATAACTGTGACTGCATAGTTGTCAAAAACCTAAAAACAAACAAAAACATACATTAGTTAGTGTGTAAGGAATGGTCCAAAATGGGATAAGCCAATTCCTAAGCCAATTATTTGCTTCCTAAAACTTAATCTTCCCTTAGTCCATTTTCCTTATATAATCGATCTTGCCAACTAACCCCTTGCAGGTTAGAAACAAGCTGTGTCCTGGGATGTCTGCTCCCCAACAAACGAGACAGTCACAAAAGCATTAGATATATCACTAGCAAGTCCTCTAGCTACACAAGATGATGCTTTAAGTCTAATACTTTAAAGACTATGATTTATCTCAATGTTCAATCTGATTTCTAAGAATTTATTTCTTCATAGATCATTTGTTTTTAACCTAGAAATAAAATCTCCAGTTAGGTGTCTCATAGCCTGTAATCCTAGCTACCTCAAAAGGCAAAGATCAGAAGGATTAAGTTCAAAGCCAGTCTGGGCAAGTATGGAGAAGATCTCGGCTCATGTAGTAAGAGTGCCTGCCTAGCAAGCATGAGGCCCTGAGTTCAAACACCAGTGCTGCCAAAAAAAAAAAAAAAAAGGAAAATATTCCACACAAAAAAGGTTCAAGTGTTTGAATGCCTGCCTAGCAAGCAAGCATGAGGGCCCTGAGTTCAAACTCCAGTACTGCCAAAAAAATCTCCTGGATTCATGATAAAATTATCTTTCAAGGTCCCAGACAAGAAGCCCATTTGAGAGAAAGTACTCCAGAAAAATGTCCGAGAAAAGGCTGGCATTGAGAATTTCATTAATAAAACTCATGATGGGCTGGGGGCCTAGTATGTGCAACAACCTGGGTTTGCTTCCCAGCACCACAAAATATGTTACTGGGTACAAACATGACTTAACACGTCTTCTGTGACTAAATGCTCTATTTGTAAATAGACCATAAAATCTTTAACAAACTCAGTATCTGCTAACATTGGTTGTACTAAGTTATTTATGAAAACGGAAAGTAACAGCACTAAATGAGAAAGATCTAACACTAATTCATGGACTCCTTTAGAATAAAAAGGCAATGTTTTCATATTTAACTGCAGTTTTGTCAATACATAAAAATTTAATTTTAAATGATTTTTTTAAAGAAAAGCAGAAGTGTTTTGCATGTTGAGACCAGTCGTACTTAACCTTTGAGCTTTCTACTCTATTTTCTGGCTGTTTTCATGTATCGCTCAGGAGTTTGTTTAAACGTAAGGAAGATGGAAGTAAAGGCGTAAGGGAAATGATATAGTTAAAGAAAGTCAGTTCTTGTTAACAAGAGCAAAAAAATGGAATGAATGCTTAAGTTCAAGTTCTCAAACTACACAGGTTATTTTCTTAAGTCACACTTATTCTTAAGTCACACTTACTCTTACTCAGAAACGGCCCTCATTTACTGAACTCTTCATACACAAGCCTGGACTAAGAATCAGAAAAGCACCAGATGGCAGTGGTAGTCACCTAGAGTCTCAGCAACTTGGGGAATCTGAAGCAGGAAGATCTCTTGAAACCGGAAGCTAGAGACCAGCCTAAGCAACATAGCAAGATCTCATCTCAAAAAGCAAACAAAAATCATTAATATTATTTTTTTTTTTGGTGATACTAAGGTTTGAACACAGGGCTTTGTGCTTGACAGGCAAGCATTCTACCATCTTGAGCTACACCTCCAGTCAATTTTTTTTTTTAACTTTAAATGAACCACAAAAGCTGTGTCTATTGCAGACATACTTTTTCTTTTTTGTGGAATTGGGATTTGAACTCAGGGCTTCACACTTGCTAGGCAGGTGCTCTACCACTTAACCCACATCTCCAGACCCTACTGCAGACTCTTAAACTAGTGTTTGATTACTTAGATGTCAAATCTAAGTAATCAAACCTAAATTCACTCATCCAAAGGAGATGAATATGGTAATCAGTACAATCCTTAAGCTCTAAGTTTCTGTTCTTCCATAAATGGAAACTCAGTTTGTGGATGGGTACAAATATGCATTTTTATACCAAGTCTATTTCCATAATAACTTAAAGAGGCACCATGGGTATATTATTTGCTTCATGGTCTGTTTATTTACCTAACTAGGCTCATTTGAAATTTTATTCTACCATTATTCCACACACACACCCCCGCCATACACCTTATTCTATTTCCAGTGATCCACATACATATATACATATAAAACATCCAGCTGAGCACCAGTGGCTCAGGCCTGTAATCCTAGCTACTTGGGAGGCTGAGATTGGGAGGACTGAGGTTCCAGGCCATCCCAGGCAAATAGTTTGCAAGGCCACATCTCCAAAGTAACCAGAGCAAAATGGATAGAGGCTATGGCTCAAGTGGTAAACCACCTGCCTTGCGAGTGCAAAGCCCTGAGTTCAAACCCCAGTGAAAGAAAAAAGAAAAGAACAAGCCTAAATAAAACATAAAAATAAAACCAAATAAAAAAAAATTAAGTCATAAAACAAACTTAAGTAACTTAAATATTCTAAAAAAAGAAAGTCCTGTCCTCGACAGAGCCAGTGGCTCACACCTGTAATCCTAGTTACCAGGAGACAGAGATCAAGCAAATAGTTCTCAAGACACTATCTAGAAAAAACCCATCACTCAAAATAGGGCTGGTGGAGTGACTCAAATAGTAGATCTTTGGCCTGCCTAGCAAGCGTGAGGCCCTGATTTCAAACCCCAATGCCACAAAAAAAAAAACAAACTCCTGTCCTCACTTTGAAACAAGATCCACATATTGCCTAAACCCCTTACAGCCTCAGAATGTCTTCTATTTACACTGTTCCCAAATAGGCCTGATCAAGTATGGGGTTTTGTCTCTTAATGTTATGTTCAAATTCTCTCAACTCGAAGAAACCTCATCTTCCTTCTTCCTGTATCCTCAGCCTAACTCCATCACTCTGTATCATTACAGACTGCCATTTCCAATTAACATAATTACCAAGCCTGTACTCCCCTGCCTGATAATGCTTATGTCTCTGAAGATTAACCTAAAGTATTCATTCACTTCCTTCGTTTTCACTTCCAAAGAATTCTAGTCCATACTAATCACACTTCCAATTCTTTTAACCCTACAATGGCTCACCCAAGAGAGAGAGTTGCTGCCATCAGGCCAACTCCATTTCAGTACATTTATCATAGTTACACCACTGGGTTGATAACTTCCAACAAACACTGGATCCCCAAACATGTGCTTTGACAAGTGAGTGTCAATCTAAATAACCCTCTCATTGTCTCTTAATTATTCCCATCTTCCCTCTACCTTCAAAGACACTGATTTAAAAAAAAAAAAAGCAATTATGGAGAAAGATTCCCAAAAGCTTCTGTCCAAAATTCTCAGTCTTCTCTGTCCCTAAGCAGCAGTTTGGAGCTCCATTACCTTTTTCCACAAGGAGACCTCCAAGCACTCATCAATCATTGGCCAACGTATTAAAAAAAAAAGTCACCTCATTCCAAGATGTAGGGCACACTTCTCCAAATTGAGACCACCACTCTTAGAATCTTTTCTACTGGAGTTGTGCCTCCAACCACTTCTTGCAAACCCTTGTGTCACCCCTTCTGAATTTTCAGCCGCTTAATTTTAAAGTATATAATTTACCCAAAGTAGTCAAGATCTTTAAAAACAGGAAACAAAGGCAGACAACAATTTTCAGTACATCACAAAGAAAGCGTTTTCAAAAGATAGCAAACTGTATTTTCACAACAGAGGAGAAGGTTTTATACTTACAGTTGGTACATATTCAGATGGAAATTTGTTTGTTGTGTAGGATATCAGGAGACATGTTTTACCAACAGCACCATCGCCCACAACGACGCACTTAATTGTCTGCATTTCAGAAACAGTTTTGTATCCACTTTAAATATTTCAAATTTGGTGTTGACCTACAAAAAAGATTAAAGATATTTATTTTATTGATTTATATTTACATCTGTATTTTTTCCCTCAACTAGCAGCAGGTTGTCATTCAGAAAAAGAATGGAACTAGCAATCCTACCAAAAGGAAAAATGACTTGCTCATAGTCACAATAACAAATAAAAGTCAAATTTTCTGTTTTTGAAATGGTTGTTTCAACTTACACATTATTTTTTAAAGTCCAAAGTGAAACAATGAGCAGTTACATTTCTTTTCATAAAAGAAGCTATGAGTCAAATAAAAAAAATTAAAAAAAAAAGAAGCTATGAGTCCAATGCAGTGTGCCAAGTAATAGTTTATGAAACATTTTTTCCTTCATATGTGCACACACATGCATATGTATAGCTGAACATGATCTAGACCACAACACAAAGACAAGTGTTTTAAAGAATGTTTCATTTGCCAGTCTCTAGCAGCCACACCTGTAATCCTCGCTACTCAGAAGACAGAGATCAAGAGGATCATGGTTCAAAGCCAGCCCAGGCAAAGGAGAGACCATATCTTGAAAACACCCAACACAAAAAAGGGATGGTGCAATGGCTCAAGTAGTAGAGCCTCTTTTCAGCAAGCATGAGGTCCTGAGCTCAAAACCCTAGTACTGCCAAAAAAAAAAAAAAAAAAAACAGTAAGAAGAAGAAGAATGGCTCATTCACCGAGCCTTAGAGCTATAGTTACACCAATAGGCAGCAAAGCCACCCCCACAACCACCACCACACCCAGAATATATGAAGAACTGGACAAAGATCAGGGTGATCCCTGGTCTCAACAGCTGCTAGAGACCAGGCTGCCTAGTTACTAGCTCAACAGTCATGGCAAGAAGTCTAAAACCCACATTTTTATAATGAAAATGTCAAATCACTATAAATCATACTGACTTATAAACAAGTAGTTTCTCTTAGTATAGTGCTTCACTTTAAGAAGGTATCGAGGGGCTGGGGATATGGCTCAGTGGTTAAGTGTTTGCCTGGCATGCATGAGGCCCTGGGTTCGATTCCCAGTACTGAAGAAAAAAAAAAAAAGGTATCGATTACAAATGCACCAAAGATTTATTGTATTTCATCAACACTGAGATACTTCTATCACATTTAAATATCTCTGAAATCAGAATGTATCTTTATTGAGGGTGCCTTGCATTCACCATTTTTTGGGGGGTAAGGAGATAACTGGGACTTGATCTCGGGGCCTCCACTGAGTCACAATCCCAAGCCCTTTCTGCTTTTAAGTTATTTTTCCAGTAGGGTCTTGCATTTTTTGCTTACTTTTTGATAGGGTCTTGGACTTTATACCCAGGCCAGCCTGGACCTTCAAGTCTCCTACTTTATGCCTTCCATGTAACTAGGATTACACTCATGCCCAGCTTATTTGTTGGGATGCAGTCTTGCTAACTTTTTAACCCAGGCTGGCCTTGAACCTCAATCCTCCAGATCTCCACCTTCTAAGTAGCTGGGATTAAAGGCATGAGGTACCACGCCTGGTTCATTATCAGTCATTTTCCCCAAAAACTTTTGACATCTATAAAATTAAGATAAATGGAATCATGAAGTCAATGAAATACTTCAACAGTTTTCCTGAAAAAAAAATTAAAGCAGGGGGAGGTGGTAGTTTGGAAAGGGTATAGGAGGGTGAATACGGTATAAATACTGTATACACATTAAAGTAAAAAGATACCTGTTGAAACTATTCCAGGAATGGGCGGAGAGGGGTTAAATGAGAATGGCAGAGGAGGTGAATTCAACTATGATATATTTGATATACTGTAAGAACCTTGTAAATGCCACAAAGTATCCCCATCTAGCACAAAAATAAATACATAAAACAAAAATTTAAAAAATGAAAGCAGCCTGTATCTACCTAGATCTTAATCACCTTCCACAGCACTGCGCTTTAAGCACTTGGCACAAAGACCGGCATACTGTGAACCACTGAATGGATGCAAAAAATCACAGAACAAGGGAATATGGACCTGAGCGCCAGTGGCTCAGGAGACACAGATCAGGATAGTGGTTCACAGCTGGTCTGGGCAAACAGTTCACGAGACCCTTTCATGAAAATACCCAACACAAAACAGGGTTGGCAGGGTGGCTCAAGTAGTAGAGTGCCTGCTTAAGCAAGCATGAGGCCCTGAGTTCAAGACCCAGTACCACCAAAGAAAAAAGTATGAAAGTACATTAGGGATGAGTAATCATAGTAAATATACACTCTCCCAACTATCTGGTCAGATGTACACATGTATGGAATTATCAGAACAAAATCCCCTTGTATTATTAATGTATACTAATTCAAAAATTGGGGGGTGGGGGGAAAAGGAGAGGGCAGGAGGGCAGGGAGGAGAAATGGCCTAAACAATGTATACAAATATGAATAAATGAGTAAAGAAAAAAAATAAAATAAAAAAGAAACAGTGAGTAAATAATAAAACTAAAAGGAAAAGAAAAGGGAAAAAATTGTCTGGATTAGACCTCAGTATAACTCGGTGGTAGAGTGCTTTCTTAGCACACACAAGGCCTTGGGTTAGATTCCCAGCACCACAAAAACAAATTTTTTTAATTATTTAGATATTTCTTTCTTTATTCAACTTCCTTTCACTTCTCTTTTTTCCTTTTCATTACCATGCACTAACAAAGCATTCATACTAATAGAATTAAGGATTTAAAAATTCTGATCCCTAGCTTAAATCAGTTACTGGTTCAACCCAAAATTGTTCTCAACTAATAGTGATTACAACAAACATCCAACACGCTATTCTAAACACATTTCATGCTCCCAACAGTCACATGAGGAATGTAGTATATTATCCTATCTTACAGATAAGATGGTAAGGCTCACTGAAGTTAACTAATTAGGTCAAGGGTATTCAGCCAGTAAGTGGTAGAAGCGGAAATTAAACTCAAGCAGTCTAACACTCCAGTCGCTGTTCTTAAACGTCACATAGTACTTCTTCTCCTGAGAAATGACACTAATAAAAATAAATGTGACCCCTGCTAATAAGCCAGCAGCTAGATGCCCTTGAGAACTGCCAGCAATCAAGAGAAGAATGCAGAAATAAAGACGAAGTAAATAGTTTACTTCCTTTTCTCCACCTTGTAGAAAATTGAATTCTATTGGAACAGGAGAGGCAAGATGACAGAACTAATAGTTTGCTCTTCCCATTTCCATTTCCCTACAAAGTTTTTTATTTCTTAGCCTTCCCATCCTGACAGCTCAGCAATCTGTTGGAAACTGACTGTGGGTCCCTTGTGAAGAGCTTGGGTTCTGGAGTCAGTCTCTACCACAATCCAACTATGTGAACTTGGCCAACTTATTTAACCTTCATGTGACTTAGCTTTCCCTTCTCTTAAATAGCAAAATAGCACATACCTTCTTCATTCATAAATTGGTTGAATAAGACAATATACAGTTGTAAACTTAAAACAGAGCCTATATGCAGTCAATGCTTTCATAAATTTAGCTGTTAGTCCTGACAGAGTAAATGCACCTTAAGTCAATATAAATTCTACCAAACTACTTAGAAAGTAACAAAATTTTTCACTTCCAAAATAATTACAGTACTTACCATTCTTACCACAAATATATTCAATTTCTGAACTACCATTACAAGGAAGGTCATTTCAAATCAAGTTCCAATTTAGACTACTCTGCAAAGTCTTTGGCAAGTACTAATAATTATTTTTTATTTTTTGTATTAAAATTTCACCAAATGATCCCCCAGATCGGAGCAGGGGAGAGGAGCAACCAGAAAAGCCAGCTTCGACAACTCATAGGAAAGTAGGCCAGAAATGTTAGTGTATCCTGTTTACCTCTGGTAAAATAACATCAAATTGATAAAGCAAGAAAGAACCAATGATTACTGTGCTATCCAGTGATTAGGAAAGTTATATATAAATATTGTATCTCATTTCTACCACAATTTAGAATTGGGGTGACAGGGTGAATATAATACATTATGTATATATATGTATATATACATATTCGTATTTATATGAAATATAGTATAATGCAACTCACTAAAAAGGAGGGGAAAGGAGAAGTTAAGAACAAGTAATTCAGATGGGGTAAATTTGATTCAAGTACATTATGTGCATCTATGTAAATATCACAATGAAACCCTTTGTTCAAGTAATTTATGCTAAGAGAATTTTAAAAAACAAAAATGATTCTGCCAAACATAAGGAAAAAAATTATAAAATAAGGTATATCTTTCACCTTCCTTCCCTGTGTCTCCCTCTACCAGACAGTCACATTACCAACAGCCATATCTGCTAAGTTCTTAACATTTGGGGGTCCAATAATCGCGTGAAAATTTTACAGTTAAAGCCCATGAAGTTTTGTGAAGTACATGAGCTACATCTAAAGAGACCATTGAATTCTCTTTAGTATTATGATTATTGGATGGTTCCCAACCAAACTCTACCACAGATAATCCAGAGAAAAGGACTACATAGGGGAAGGGAGGATTCCAGCTACACATGTACTATGGTTCTCCCACTCCAAGGTTCATTTTAAGTACAAGGCACATGCAGTACAGGAAAAGATCTGAGATTAAGTATTTCCTAGTAAGTATGTCTTACAAAAAACCTGTATTTTGAGTTTTATAAAACTATGTTTAGTATTAGTAGCAAATTAATAATATACTATGTGAAAAAAAAGGAAAGTTCAGTAGTTTGGTAATTCACTGTGCTATTTAGTCTCTGACCCCAATTCCTAGCACAGAATTCAAAAAACCCTAGGAATTTTCTGAATGATACGAGTCTCATTATTCGTAACAAAAATCACACCTGAATTTATATGAATAAGGTAAATGTAGGAGAGGTTCCTAGAAAGCCTCAGAATGGCACCTGTCACCAGAATCACCAATTACTGGGTTGTGACTTTCAACCCCCACCACCAACCTCCAGGAAGGGGAAAAGTGGGCTGAAAATTGAGCTTATGAAAACTTTTGACCAAGGCGATTTGGAGAGCTTCTGGGTTGGTGAAGATATTGAATCACTAGAAGAGTAATGAACTCAGAGCAGGCATGGAAGCTCCCCCTACCCCACACCCTGCCCTATCTACCTTCTCCATTTGGCCGTTCCTGAGTTATATACTTTATAATAGGGGAGCCAACATGAAATGTTTTCTGAGTTCTATATGTTGTCTAACAAAATATCAAACCACAGGAACCCACAAATTTGTCGTTAACTAACTGGGCAGAGGTAGGAATAGCCTAGGCACATCATTTCCACTAGTGTCCAAAGCTGAAGGCAACCTTGTGGGACTGAGCCTCTTAACCTGTGGGGTGAGAGGAATCAGAATTAAACTGACAGAGGTGGTGTGAAAAAAAATATATATATTTGCACTAATCCATACTACCGTATTAAAAGTAAAAGCTGTTTTCACTGGAACTACACTTGCTCCTGAAGTAACCCATTTTCATCCTAGGATACAGGAAATAAGAGACACATGGGAATCCAGAGAAGAACGCCTTAATTTCATAAGCCTTACAAAGCCAACAGAACTACTTGTCTGGTTGTGCAATTAGATAGAATAAATAAAATTGGGGTCAGGTACAGTGGTACATACCTGTAATCCTCACTACTCAGGAAGACTGTGATCCAAGGCTAACCCTGGCAAAAGCTTGAGACCTTATCTGAAAAACAAACTAAAAGCAAAAGAACTGAGTGTGGCTCAAGTAGTAGAGTGCTTACCTAGCAAGCACAAGGCCGAGTTCAATCCCCAGTACTGGCAAAAATAATAAAAATAAATAAAATCAGGACTATTTTTATCTTCTGTCAAATCCATTCACTTTCTAAAGTGGAGTTTATATAACCTTTTGCTCTAAGTTACAGTAGTATATATAAAGTAATCTTGTTTTTTTTAAAAATCTGCCAACTGTCTGAGGGTAAGGCTTTGTGAGTGGTAAAGCCTTGGTCCAGCATTCACAGGAGCCCTGGATTTGATCACCAGGATACAAAAAAATAATAATGATCCACAATGTAATTAGTTTTATTTCATTTTGTAGTAGTGCAGTGCTGGGGATCAAACTCAAGGCCTTATTAGGCAAGCACTCTACCACTGAGCTACAACCACAGCTCTACCCGTGGAATTCTTAAGAAACCACAAGTACTCAAACAACAAAAACATATTCCGTGTGTTCACATGTATGCAGGTGCGCTAACACAGTCTTATTCGGTTCTATGTCACAGAACATACATGAAAACAAGACATATAGTTGATCTTACATGTTTAAGTCCTATCCACTTCTATTACACTTCCACTACAGTTACCTTTTCCCCAAAAACAAGCAATACACTGTAAAAACCGGTGTTTTTAAACCCTGAAATAAATATTTCGCTTTTTGATAACATTTAAGAGAGCTTGAGTCTATGAGTTTACCCAATATTACTCGAAAGAACAAATTACAAAGACTTTTTTTTTTTGTTAAGAATTAGAAGGCCCTTAAAAAACTAACTGCACCCCATCATTTTATATGTAAGAAAATTCTGGCCAAAACACAAAGACTTGCCCAAAAGTTGGATAGATAATACCTATATATCCTGACATACTTTTCCAACTTTATAGACTTCAAACAAATGTAAAACAAATCTTGTAAAGACAGTTGTTTTTTTTTTTTTTAATGTTCTGATTTGTCCTCAGAACACTCAATAAACAGGAAATAATCCTTGGAAACTTTGGCACACGGGCAAGCTGATGGAGTGGTTTGGTGGTAAGAGTGCCTTACCCAGCAAGCATGAGACCCTGAAACCCAGTGCCACCCTACTCAACCAAAGAAAAGAGTAATTGAAAACTCTGGCACTCCTTCAAAGGTCAAAGCCAAAAAGGGTAAAAGAGAAGGGGAGGGGAGGGCAGGGGAGGGCAGGGGAGGGCAGGGGAGGGGAGGAGAGGGGAAGGGAGGGAAGGGGAGGGGAGGGGAAGGAAGGGGAGGGGAGGGGAAGGGAGGGCAGAGGAGGGCAGGGGAGGGGAGAAGAGAAATTAAAATCCCAGATTATTTACTTGGACTGACCAAGATTTTATAAAGAAACAGTAATTTTGAGTTTTATATATAAATATAGCAAGCAATTTCTTTGGCATAATTATTAAAGTAAATGGGAGATAATAATGTCCAGTCTTAAGTGTTATTCATTATCCAAATATTTTCTTCATAAAAAATGTTCCTGAAAATTTTGAGATTTTTTTTTTTCTTCTCCCACTTAGTACTCCTAGGCCAGCCAGCATATCTCTAGGAGTTAACTGATTGTTCTTATTTGTTTATATTCCATCTATTCCATCAAGCAGAAATCCTTGATGGCCAGAATTCTGCCATCGGGAGAGGTGGTAAGGCAGATAATAACGTGCTATCTATTTCAAAAAGCTAGAAGAAAGGATTCTGAATGTGTTCACCATAAAGAATGACAAATGTGTGAGCGAGTATGTTTAACCTAATTTAAACATTACAGTGTGTGTGTATAAGATAAATATGTACAATTTTATGTTTCTATGTAACAGTTAAAATTAATTAAAGCCGTTATGGTGGCACATGCTGAAGCAGGAAGATCACAAGTTCAAGGCCAGCCTGGGCTCCTTCCACAGAGGAATTTTTTTAATTTTATTTTTTAAAATTAAATATTTATTAAATTTTTTTAATTAAAAAATAAAATTTTTTAATTTTAAAAAAGAGGGTTAGGATATAGCTCAGTGATAGAGCACATGCTTAATATATGGAAGGCCCTGGGTTCAATCCTCAGCACCACAAAATAAAGAGAGGAAGAAGAAGAAAGGTAGTAAGCAAGGTGGTTTTTCCTAGTAGGCATATAAAAATAATTTAATAACAAGCAAATAAAAATAGATACAATATTTAACTTGTTTTGCTTTCAATTAGCAAGGCTAATAAAATTTAATTTTCCAAAACAAACTTTGTTTTCTAGCCTTAGTAGCTATGAATAACCTCATTTTGCCAAAAAAAAAATTCTATTTATTGAATCATTATAGAATTTCTTTTTCATTAAGATCTTTGATCCATCATTATAGAAATTTAAAGGACAAGGTCTCGATGATATACAGTGAAGTTGCTGCCTTTCTCTTGATTTTGATGTGACACCAGAAAATATAAAAAAACTGGTAGAAATTTTACAAGAAAAAGTCAAATCAGAGGTAGACTTACAAATACAAGTAATAACAAGCACTGTAATAGCTTTTGATTGTTGTAGCAGATACTAGTGGTCTTCCCTTCTCCCTTAAATGTATTCTGCAGACACTGCACAAAATAAAAATTTTAATTGAAGAAAAAGAAGCATCTTTGGTTTCTGGCAAATACCTACCATCTAGAATTCTTCATGGATATCTCCCCCACAAAATGTTTACAAATTCCCTAGTACCTCCAATAGATTAAATGAGCTAATACATGCAGTGTCTGATGGCAAATATGAAGTGCTCACTGAAGCAATTACTTAAATTTCTCCATTTTCTGTCATTTGTAAAAGTAACTGATATGTGCTATAAATCACAACATTAAGTGAGAATGGAGAACTGGGTTTCTATGCGTCTTTAACATGACAAAAATGGAGCAAAAAAGTTGAGAAAAAAGTGCTGGCAACAGTGAGTGCTTTTAAAATAAGATATGATTCTATCTAGAAAAGGATGATTCCAGCAGTACTAGAAGTTTGTTGTCATTGCTTCATTTCTGAAAATGGCCTCATTTTGAAGTATCTAGTCCAAACAGAACTGAAGTCCTAGTCATTATTATAATATAGTAATAATAATTATAATTCTTTGTCCTTTCTCCAATTGGCCTCAGCCTCTGGAGCGCTAAGATTATAGGCATGTGCCACCATGCCCAAGTAGTCATTATTTTTATTCATATGCTCTCTGGGGAAGAACTAGGCTTGTTTTCTTTATCCCCCTCCCAATGCACCTAATGTAATACTGAGCAAGAAAAAGTAAAATTTTTTTAATTTTTCTAAAACCTTGCAGACTAATGTAACAATATTAAAAAAAATTAGATTTTCAAAGACAAGCAAACTGAGTTCCAATCTCAGCTCTACTGTGTGATTTTGGCAAGTTACTTTACTTCTATACTTTAATCTTCTCATCTACAAAAGAATATGAGCTAACATACAGAAAGCAACTAGTGTACCACCTGGCACAGGGTCAAGTACCTAACTGCACCTTACTGTTATCCCCAATTAAAACTTGCAACAACCATGAGCTGGTAAAGTGGCTCAAGCGGTAGAGCACCTGCCTCGAAAGTGTGAGACCTTAAGTTCAAACCCCAGTACCATGCGAAACAAACAAACAAACTTGCTGAAACCTCTTCACCAGCTGCTGAAAGGAAAAGAAAACAAGGAAAGGAGGGAGGGAAGAAAGAAGGAAGGAAGGAAGGTTTCATGTCTACCAAGCATGAAATCCTGAGTTCAAACCCCAGTACCATCCAAAAAAAAAAACCAACAGGGGCGGAGGAAAAGACAAAACAACATTACTTAATCATAAAACAAGTATTTATCAAGTTTCTAATATGCCCAAGGAAAACAATATAAAATAGCGGTACCTAGGCACTTGTGGCTCACACCTGTAATCCTAGCTACTTGGGAGGCTAAAATCGGGAGAATCGAGTTAAAGGTCAGCCTGGGCAAAATAGTTTGCAAAATTAAATCTCCAAATTAAGAAAAAAAAAAAAAAAAAAAAAAAACCACGGCAAAATGGATTGGAGGTATGACTCAAGTAGTAGAGCATCTGCTTTGCAAATGTGTGCCCTAAGTGCAAACTCCAGTCCCACAATAAATACATACACATATACATACATACATAAAATAGCAATAAACAGCATGAATTTTCAAGCCAGCCAGCCCATTTTCCCATTCTTGTGTGGCTCTGGCAAGCTTCATTTCTCCATTTCTGAAATGGAGATAGAGTAATCAACATCATAGGCAGACTGTGAGAATTTAACCAGGTTACATCATTCATAGTACCTAACACTCAAATATTAGTGCCTGTTATCCTTGTGATATAAAACAGACAAGCAGCCAATTTAGAATCTTATCTAGGCAATCTTATAGAAGGATATATTCTATGCTCTATGGAAGTGAAAAATCAATCATACAGGCCTGGCACTGGTGGCTCACACCTGTAATCCTAGCTACTTGGGAGGCTGAGATCAGAAGACTGTAGTTCGAGGCCAGTTGGGGCAAGTAGTTCTTGAGACCAAAATAACCAGAGTAAAATGGACTAGAAGTGTGACTCAAGCAGCTGAGCGCCTGCTTTGTGAGTGCTGAACCTGGAGTTCAAACTCCAGTCCCACCAAAAAAAAAAAAAAAAGCCAACCATGTACCCCTGAAAACAAAACTAACAAAAGTGTTTGATTAGAAAAGATTAGAAGAGTAAGATTTTTCCTTCAAATTATTAGGACCTAACACAAGAAAAACTTTTACTTCCAAAAAATATCAGGATCTGGAGTGGAGATGTGGCTCAAGCAGTAGAGTGACTGCTTTGCAAGCACAAAGCCCTGAGTTCAAACACCAGTTCCACTAAAAATACAAAGTGAAATACATATATACACACATATATATCAGGATAAACAATAAATCTTCCATATCTAGACCAGTATCTTCTAAATTTTAATATGTACATTATTTGACCTGGTAATTCCATTTCTGACCTCTTTTTTTTGGCAGTGGGGGGAGGTGGTGGACAGTACTGGGGTTTGAACTCAGGGTCTCACACCTGACAAACAAGCATGCTATCACCTGAGTCAAGTCCCTAGCCCTTCTAACTCTTTCTCCAGTGATGCAACGAGGTAAATAAAAGGATATTCACTGCAGCCTTGCTTGTAAGAGCAAAAGAAAGATTATCT